GGGGGGGCAATGGGTAAATAAATTCAATTATTTTGAGGTATTATTATTTATTACTTGTGAAGTTCAGCTAAGAACTCCAGTCATGTTGGGAACAGTACAAATATAGAAGAAGCAAGCCTGGTCATAAAGAGTTTGCAATCAAAGTAATTTTTTTCTCTGAAGCAAACACTTCATTAATATTTTAGTTAGTTAATGAAAACAAAATCTCTGCTCTTGGAAAATATTTTGCTGCATTATTCAGTATTTGGAAAGCATTAACAGAGTTATTAGGATTTTCACAATTTTTACAATGCCTACATTGATGAGGGATATTTCCACTTGCCATTACCTATTCCTCAAACAGTCCTCAGACAGCCAATATAATAAGTAAAATTAAAATGTTCTCATAATTAAGAAGAGTTTGAAGAATATGCAAAAGGTAGGAGTATTTTCTATACTTATTAACTTCGGTAAATTTTAGAACATTGGTATGAATTTTCAAATTATCAGAACATGAAATTGATGTAATTATTGTGTTGCTCTTGAAAATATGCTTTAAGCACTTCTCCTGCTACCCTGAAATATATCACTTCTTACTCTCTTTTTCCTCTGAAGTAAATGAATACCTAAAATTAAATTTCAAGTAGAAAGTAAAATCCTACAGCAGCTCTACTCCTCTGCTTGCATGGTAAATATTTATAAATGTACAGATGAGAGAACTTTTAGGGATGAGAGAACCAGGTTCAGAATCCAGAGAAGTTCTTGGAATTCTAATTGTTCAGTCTTCAGAGACTTCTAGAAACCCTTGTGACTGTCCCAGACTCCACCCTCAACCATATCCTCAACCCTAAATAGAGACTAAAAAAAGAAAATCTTGTTGGAAAAGGAAGAAAGAAGAAAGAGTATGTTCTCAGCTTGCAATCCCCCTCCCACCAACTGGGATGTTTTACTCTTTCCTATTCTGTCTCAGGAGTTTTGCTGATGAAACAAAAACAGAACAGGGAAGGCCTTCAGTAACTTTCATTATTAAGTGATTTACCTTTTGGCCTAGAAGCTGGAGTCACTGAGTCTTTCCTACTACCAATCTCCATTTATTGGCTGAAGGGAAGAGGATTCGTCCCTCTCTGGTAACTTACATGTGTGGCACATTAACCCATAGGATTTCTCTAGGAGCCATTCTTATATGAACAAGTCTTAGAGCTCCAGCTTATTGCCCTGTCCATTCAACATGACTGTGAGCCTGCTGGAGTACGCAGGGAAATGCACTGAATGGAGGGACTAATAATGTAACAGTTCTTCTGTTTACAGCTCCTCAGAAGCTGTTGCCTGCTAGAGACTGGCTAATCATCTTGCTACCTTGGGACTTGCTGAACTCCAGAGTTGTCGCATCTGTGACAGAGCAGTAGGAGGCAACCCTCTTCCCTTATGAGCTCAGTTTAAGAATTTTTCCACCATCAACTGCTGAGGAAAGGATAACAAGAAAAGGAAGGTAGAGGAGTGAATGAGAGCACCATGTCACCTTAGGGGTCCTGAGAAGATCAGGCCTGGGGTCATATCTCCCTCTTTCCATGCAGATTACCAGATGTGGCACTTGTTGTCTGGGTTCATTGGGGATCCACTGGAACAGTGGAAGTGCTTGGCAAAGTCCTGACTATTGCTGATAGGCCCACAGACACGAAGTGGCAAGGGACTGTGCACATCTGTGTTCAAGGAAAACTGTAGTTTCTCAGGATCCTGGCGTCCACACATTGCCTGGAAGGAAGCAAACCAGAAAAGTCAGTTTGTCTGGAAGTCTTCATGTGAACAAGGCTTAAGGGTCCTCATGCCTCTGCACACATGACTGAGGCTGCTGGCGTAAACAAGGAAACACACTGACATGGGTGCCAACAATGTTCAGATCTTTCCTTTCACCACCAAAATTTCTGAATTTCAAATATGGTATAGATATAGTCTCACTGTCTAGATTCAGCTTCTTAAGCAAAAGCAGCGAGTGAGAGGAGACCACTTACACAACATCCCATTACTACTCAAGAGACGGGGGGGGAAGGTTATGTGACTTTACTGGTGTTGAACTGGCAATCCAAGTCTTCGCTCTTGTGATTTAGTCTTTATTAATTGACAAATGATGCAGAAGCTGCCAGACAGCCTCTGAAATGCCAGCCTTGCCACCAAGACCCAATAATCTGTGATTTCAGAACGGCTTTTCTACACACTGCTCTGGCCTAATGTCAATACATGCACAAAATTTTTCCCTTTGCACAATTGCAGTGACTTATAAGGGTGTGACTTCTCTGGGCACAGAAATCCAATGACCTATCATGAGGAACTCAACTACACAACTATGCACAACTTTGCACAAATCCTTAAACCAGGTTCCCACAGAGATTTTGAACTATGTGTATATGTACTTCCGGTTCTTTATCTCTAAATAACTTTATAAACTCTTCATTATCAGTCACTCAGAATGACATGACAGAGAGGTGGATGAAGGAAGAGATGGAGAAATACCTGTCTTTTCCAGTTAAATTCCACTTCCCATGTGTAAGATTGCTCACAACAACAAAACAGCTGGCAAAGAAGCGTGCTTCCCCCGACACAGTTTGTCTGCTATAACTTAATTTTGGTAGACTTCAGAGTTTTTTAAAGGATATATTTGCAGACAGGCCTTTTATTAGCTTTGAGATCCATAACAGGCTAGGGGCCCTATATATGAATTTTCGCTTTCTAAATAAGATTCTGGATCTCACAGAAATTTTGGTCATTCCCAGTTCTGTGAAGAGGGGGAGATGTGACTGAATACTGAGAAAGATGAACTGTAATGATGTGGAAGAGCATGGAGAGTGAGAGAGACACATGACTAGCCTAGAATTCATTACATGAGCAAAACTGAGGTAGAAAAGCTGGTCATGTGAAAGTCCAATCTTAGGTAATTCCTTCTCTTCTTTGTGCTTTTTCAGCCAATTCTTATAGGCCTGTGGAGAGACAAAATTAATAATAATAAATCTCCCTTCAGATAATGTCCCAAAACCATGTCTTCAGTTAATGAAATATATCAACCTAATATATATTTAATAAATTAGCAAGTTTGTATCCTTCTCGCCTCATTTTGAGGCTCCCTTCTGCTGGCCATGACCCTAATAACTCTAAGATGGGAGAATAACAACATAGCTCCTTTGCTTCCCATTTCAGACACTACCACACATATATCATCATAAGAGAAGATGTGACTGCACTATGAAAGAATGAAAACTACTTTCAAAGAAAGTCACAAATATTTGATCAAAATTTAAAAGACTTCCTACCTCCCAGCATTCTTAGAGCAAGAATGTAACAAGTACCATCTGAGACCTAGACCCTGCTCTCAGTAATTAATTAAACTGCTAAACTGCATGAGGAAACAAAAATTCTCTCTAGACTAAAGCATTGCTGAAAACATCATTATGGAGTCATTTTAGCACCACACAGAATTCTAGTTCATGTCTCAGCTTAGTTCCTTAGGTATAACCTAAACACATAAATAATAACATCCTTCTGCATGCATGACATAAACAGGGAAGTTAAGAAAGGTTCACTCCAGAATTGGTGAAGGAGAGAAGTGGTCTTACATGAAATTAGTGAGGTTATGAGCAAAGCTTTGTGAGGAACCTATGTCTGGAATAGCAGAGGACATGCAGGGCACATGCTGCACTGGCACAGGTGTGCAAGAAATCTGGAACTGGAGCAGCATGTAGGAGAGGGATGCAGCAGAGCAATCTTGTGGCATGGTGGTTGAGTTGTGTGGTAAAACTATGAAATTAGAGAAATAAGTAGATTACAATACCTGGTAAGCAATGGCAAGCCCTCCAGTGTCAGCTATATTCTCCAACAGCGTAAAAGTACCATTGACCTTGATGTCATAGCTTTCATAGTGTTCAACCAAGCAGTCTCTAGATTTCTGTAGTGCACTCCTGTTGCATGTAGGACAGCCCTCAGGCAGCACTGTGAGGAAAAACCAAAATCCTAGAAAGTAAAGGTATTTCTGGCATTCACCTGTATTCCTCACATTAATCACTGAGTCTTCTTAGTAGTGAGCAGGGCCTGGAATGTGTTTTCCTTAGCTTCATCTGCCTTAATAATACACATATACATTGATATAGGTACCAGGATTTAAGATCCTCTGAGGGAATGTACCAGTGGGGACCTAGAAGAGTAAACAAAGACCCTACAGCTGGTACCCACCATAACCATAGAATGTGTGAAGAAGTTCATGCGCCATGAAGACCCCGATGGCTCCAAAGTTCACAGCACTGAAAAATAAGCATTAAAAGAGTGCTTTTGAAAAGAAAAAGAGACTAGGTGAGCATTCTTTATAGCCACAGAGCACAACTGTGGACTGCACAGGAGCATTCTACTCTGAGAGCACACAGAAACACTTTCAATTTATTGTCTCTCAGATGTGGTACACTCTGTAAAAATGCAAATATGTCTGTAAATTACTCTACCAATGATTAAAATTGTACTATAGGCTTGCATTAAAGTATTCATAGCTAATAAGCCATCATAATAATGAAGAGTCTGTGAATGAAATTCTGCCTTTATTAACTCTAATGACACATATTGTTGTTGAGCTATGTCCTTATTTACCTACTACTGGCTGAACTGCTGCACAAACAGTAACTGCAATGGTAATCATACAAAAGCAGGATGGTTGGAGAAGCAATCTTGCAACAGTTGTCTAGTGAAAAATGATAGATAAAACTGGCAAGGCAAATTAAAATAATGAAGGTTTGACTACAGTTACTCTGGTCTAGCATTGATGATCTTGCTACAAGCAAGAGGTTGTACTAGAGACCTCCAGCAGTTCTTTCCAATCAGAATGTCTATGGTTCTATGCAATGAATTTACAAATAGTCACACAAGTAAGAATACACTCAAAATGCATTTCCATAATATGAAATGATGGGCTCATTCTTTCTTTACATGCACTGATTAACACTGCTGAAGCATGAAATGATTGTAGTAGATTGTTGCTACATCACTGGGAACTCCTTAGGAAGTGACAAGAACAGAACAACTAACCTTCTCCTAGAACTGCTCTTTCAGAAGCTCTGTAGCTGATAACTTACAATTGCTGCATAGAGAAGTTGTAGATGCCCCATCCCTGGAATTGTTCAAGGTCAGGTTGGATGGGGCTTTCAGCAACCTGATTTAGTGAAAGATGTCCCTGCCCATGGCAGGGCAATTGGACTAGATATCTTTAAAGGTCCGTTTCAACCCAAACCATTCTATGACTCTATAAAAATTGTACTGCTTTGCTGACTTCTTATTTTAAAAATGATCCTCACAGTCATCTGAATTGGCTTTTGTCAGTAAAGTTTAAGTTTTGGAGCATCATCTGAGAAAATGCTACTGTGCCAACTCAACAAAAGCTGATCAAGTTTGACTTACAGGTCTGCTCAACTGGGATGACAGTGAGAAAAATATATTTTACTAACACTGAATACAAAAGGAATAAGAAGCTGTAGACACTTTTTCAGAGGGAAAGAATATGGTAGAGTGACAGTCTATACAACTGGGAAAAATATTTTTTTCTGTTATTCTTTTGAGGTGTCCTGTTCTTCACACTATAATGAATTCATGAAATACTGCAAGCAGGAGAAGATGTCATACAACTGCTGGTAGAAGATCACCATGGAGAAAATAATTACTTTTAACTGAAATGTGTTACTTTCAAACTTCTGTGTCTGGCCACAGTGTAAGCTTATCTTTCAATACAATGGGATTAGAAGAAGTATCTATCCATTGTCATGCAAAAAAGGACATCAAATAGTATTTTTAAAGTCAACTGTTTTAAGTGTTTTAAATATCAGAAAAACATTGCTTAACAGATCTGTTCCATATGATGAAAGAACCCAACCATAAGAGTATGGTCTGCAGAAGTGTCATTGTTGCAGGGGAAGATTCAGAATTAAAAATGTATTTGCTTGTTAAAGAAGGTTTCTTTTAAAAAAAGGAAGAGAAGAACTGTGTTTGATCCATTTCAGAAAGACTTCTGACAAGAAGTTGCTTTGTGAGGCTCCTATTTTCTCTGGGTTAGATTTCTATGGGTTAGATTTCAGGAACTCTTGGAATCTAGGAAATGAGAGGCAAAGGTGAAATGTCGTCTTTGCAGTTAACCTACAGGAGACTTCTGCCTCTTTGCTCTGGGGTAATATACTTGGCTTATCTTAGTTTCACCTAGATTCTGGTTTTGCTCCAGCAGAGTCAATGATCCCACTCTTTCAGAATTCATAAGGCAGTATCCATCCAGCTTTAGAAAAAGCTACTTTTCTCCCCTTTATTGTGTCTTTCTGGGATGCAATAAGAAAAAGAGGCTAAAGACAGATCCGTTAAGATTATTCCTGGAAACATGTCGCAGCCAAGAGACTACATTCAGCTTCCACCTTTACAGTCCCTCCATACCTGGGAAATTCCATGTGGAAAAAAGGGCTGCGGAACATTCCAGCAGGAAAGACCACCATATGGTGCCTTATTGAGTAGTATGAATGCACAGTCCAGGGGAACACATGCCAGCTAGAAGTAGAAAAAGAGAAATGAGAGAATGTATTAAATCCTTATCTCATACCTTGCTCCTTCCCTTTGCAGCTCCACTGGGCTTGCAAAAATGGTCTGTTTAGTACAACTGTTCACAAAGCAGCAGCAAATTATGAAAGTCCCATTATCTAGAGTTAAACGTGTTTGAAATAAACCTTCACTTGTTTACAGATGGTCAGAGCTAGTAGCTTATCTTTCATACACATTTAGGGATTCACTCTCACAACTTCCTTATCAAATAAGTCAGAACTACGAACCTCCTGTGAAGTGCTGTACAGAATACTCTTCAGGAGGTGTAAGGTCCCAAGCATGCCTGTCAATGCCGCCTGCCTTCTGAAGCTTCCTATGTCCTGCCTTTGAGGTGACCCTGCCAGCATTCACTTCATCACAGTGCTCTGCCGCTTGCTTTGCTGCTAAGTCTAGGAGAACCAGATATCCCCCTTACTCAAGGGTTCATGGGAAAAAAAGGTTCTTTTTTCATGGGTCTGGGCCTCCCTCCACAGCAGTGGCATTTGTTGGTAGCATGAGGCCAGGCTGAATACAAGACAGGCTGCCAGATTCAAGGCTTTTTTAAGCAGGATGCAGCAATGCAGCCTTGCAGCAAAGAAGGACAACATCATCTTGTCTTGCATTATGAGAAATGCCACCAGCAGTCAAGAGGTGATTATGCCTATTCAGGGCTGGTGAAACCACATCTGGAATTACTGTGTCCATTTCTGCCCTGTCCCCTGCCTGCCCTCTACCTCCTTCTCCAGTACAAGAGAGATATAGACATACAACTGGGCACAGTCCTCAGTGACCTGCTCTAGCTGATCCTGCTTTGAGCGGGAGGGTTGGACTAGGTGATCTCCACAGGTCCCTTCCAACCTTAGTTAGTCCATAAGTGTGTAATTCTTTTACATTTTTCAGATCAGTATCTGACACTTACTTATCCTGTGAGTGATGCTGAAGGAGTTTCAAGAAGGAATTTTCCCTCAGTATTTTCAAGCAAGCCACCACATTGAGGAAAAAAGTGTCTTCATTTATCTCCAACTGAGGGAAGAGACAGGTAAGGTGACTGTCATAGGGCATGAGCGGGAATTAATTGGACAGTAAGAGAAAAATTCCCATGGGTCAAAAAACGGTTCATCAAAAGACAACCAATGGAATACTTGTGGGTTTTTTTCTCTCCCAGTTCTAAAGACCTTTAATTTTAGATATGACAGGAGTGTTATGTGCAAGCCAAACAGAACATACAAGCAGGTCACAACCAAACTCTATCAGATCAGGAGATAGGAGACAACTTAGGCAACAATACAGAAGCAATAGATAAAGGTTCTCTGGGCCCATATATTCTCAGAAAATGAACAGTAGGAAATACACATTTCTCCAGAGGTCATAGCCTCCTTTAGCAGCAGCAGCCAAGACAGCATTTGGTACGAGTAAACTGCCAATAATGAGGCAGGTATTTTTACATTACATGCTCACATTTTGGTATTCCAGGTTCACTTTGGCAGACTGGAGTATGTGAGCTGGATAGCCAATCTCCACTTGCAGTTTGGAAACCTAAAATCATAAAAAACAAACAAATGAACAAAAAGAAACATGGCTTTCCATTCCACAAGTCCCTTTTAAACTCTATTTCTAAACAACCTTAATATGGTCTGTGAATCAGCCATTTAAAATGATAGCTACTCTGTTTCAACAAGACATCTTTTCTTGCTGCTTTGCTTTCTCAACTCAATGATCTGAGACCTAATGTTGTTCTACTCTTCTTTTTCTTTCTAGCATTGTTTTCTGGCATTCAGCTTCATAGTTTTTAACCTCTCTAGGTGTATAAAACAAATAATTCAGAGTTATCCATGAACGAATACTGAGCTTCTCTATGCCTACACATCAATGTATGATCACACATGCATGATGACACTTATAAAACCACCTACAACTTCCAGTGTGTATAAGATATCTGTTTAGGATTGTGTGTCTGTAAAGTAGGTAGGGCTATGTGAAGGTGCAGGTCCTTTCTAATCCTTCCCCAAAGGCTTCAGGGACAGGAAGGCCTCAGTAACTTCTGCCTTCTGCACGCACCAAGACTTTAGCCTCTTGGCGAGTCTGTTCATCCATCCACTCCACCTGATCCAGTTGGCCATAGAGGGCATTTTGGATCTCAGAGAACATCTGCTCAGCCTGCCATGGAGAAAAGAAGGCATGGTCAGAACTGCAGAAAAACATCGTTCACAGGCTTAGCTACCATCTTCCCATGTTCCAGCAATTCATCTACAGAATAACTGGGGGAAAATTCCTCTTCTTGCGATGAAAGAGGAGATTTCAGTTTCTAGAATGATTTAGGCTTAAGTTATTTGGCATCGAGTGGTTCCTCACAAGGCTCATAATTCTCTCCCACACACCTTTTCGTCTTGCCTCTCATGGTAACTAAGAGCGAAACATAATTCTTTTTTATTCAATCCCTGTTGGGATAGGAATGGATCAAATGATTGCCCCACTTCTTGAGTGAGATGAAAATTCAGTATCTACAAGTATTTCATGCTGGTGTCTCCCTTTCTGAAGTTATGCCGATCTGAGTGTCTCCTTCACAAAATTATGTTTTGTGCATTCAGCTTTGTGCTTCACTACATGTTCTCTTAGTTTTCCCATTAACTTTTCTTGGGGTTATTTACTCTTGCCACTTTATACATTGCAAACTCTTCATAAAAATTTGTGCCTACATTAACTTCCCTAAAAAGAAAAAGGAACTCTAATTATCAAAGGGAAAAAAAAGAAATCTTTTCCACACTGCAGTCAGGCGTTCCTTACTGTGGATCCACTCAGAATGTTTTGACATTGATTTGTTTCTGTACAACTGGTCATATGATGGCATAATGGCTTTGCAATTGAAAATCTCATTTAAATATGTCATATTGGTCATGAATACTGTTAATAACTAACTGTCATTATTCCAGGAAGCACACTGAGGTTGCATGCATTTGTAGGGCTGTCACAGGTATTGGTGCTGCACAGACGACTTTGCTAACAGTTGAGATAAAGATAATAACTGGTATTTTAGAATTTATTATTCTAGCCATGACATAAATGTCTTGTTCTGGCATCTTTCATTCCTAAAAAAGGAGGGGAAGTGTGTAAGGGCAGGAATATGTAAAAAGGTATAAAACCTACACATGATTTTGCTGCCTTGGTATGGTCTTAAGTTGGCATGTCAAAAAAGAAAAGAGATGAAGCTGAACTCTGCTTGGGGTTAAGAGGATGAATACCTACAAGTTTCTTGGTCGTCTGAGGGAAAATCTCTTGCACAATCATCTGCCCTAGAACTGGCTCAAAGAAAGAGCTGGTATCAGTCAAGCACTTCCTCCAGCGCTCAGCTGGGATCTGTAAAAACAGAGAAAGAAACCAAGACACATCAGAGTGAGGGCAAGGTGGTAGGAAGACAGTAAAAAGGTATGTAAATGTGCAATCAGTAGCATATATGCTGCTATCTAAAAATGACAGCAGTGAATTATGAGTAATGTTGTTCCATTTAAGCTACCTCAGAAAACTTTAATCAGGTAAAACATTGATTTCCTTATGATTTACTCCACTTACTTTCACATAAGATGAAGGTTCATATGCTAGCTGACACAAACACATAGAAGAAAGGTGACAATCTATCTGTTTTTCCCTACTCCATGATACAGTGCACATAGCGCTCTCAAGTTTTGTATGTCATGTCTACTCCCACATTTAAGAAAAAAGAAGCATTTAATGGCCTAGTGAGAGTAGTTTTCCTCCCCACATTTAAGAAACTCCATCCAGACAAGACATCAAGAGAACATCCAGTGTGTCCTAGGGTGTTGAGCTGTTGAGGAGGCTGAAGAAGATGGTTAAAGGCTAACTCACCATTCTAGATCCTGTTTTTCCATAAAGAATCTTAGATAGCTCCAGGCGTGCATCTTGGAATCGACTGTCAAGGGCTGGGGAGAGATTCCCAACCAGACAAACAATCATGTAAATGTGAAGGACCCTGTAGGAAAATGACATTTTAAAAGACAAGATTGAAGGCTGGTTACTATAAACACAGAGACATGGCAAGTGTCAGAGGAATAATTTGAGGCAGAGGAACCCCTAGTAACCTGAATAATGGCAACAAAGTACCCTGAATGGGCTACCCCTGGGGCTATCAAAGGAGGATGATTTGACATGAGCAAAGAAACTGTCTCTCCAAGAAGACTCAAGGGGTAACTGCCTGCTGGGGCACAGGATTCTTTATGGGAAGCAAGAGAAAGAGCATTTTTAGGACTGTGTGAAACTTATTATAGAATATTTTGAGGGGTCTGTGGGATTCTGTGAGACTTCTGGGAACATGCATGGGAAAGTGGAGAGGAAAGGTGGTAAGAGAGAAGGGTTGAGTGCAAATTTGTGGCTTGCCAGGGCATTTGTCTGATTGTGCCCTACATCTTATTAAATGCTTTTCTTAAATAACATTCTACTCGCCGTGTGGGAGGATGGGACTGGATATTGGAGAGACAAGGAGTCTGAGAGTTGACTACCAGAGGGGTTTTGGTTCAAGCTAGCTGCTGGAGAGAGCAGGGATCTGAGAGTTGGGTATTGGAGAGACTAGCAGTTTGTATCAGCTACTGGAGAGATCTGCTTGTATATGTATGTTTGTAACAAGAAAAGACCAGAGTACCAGCAACCAAAGTACAGCTGCAAGACTAAGGGGCTCATATATATCCAGGTGCCAGAATCTGTGGATACAAGGGGATCTGGGGCCAGCTTCTGGACAGACTGAATATCTAAGACCAGCTGGAGAGGATGAATAGGATCAGGCTGTCTGAGCTGTTCCTGTTTGTATGAGTGCTATGGGTGAGTGGGTGCCAGTAGAGGCACTGCGCTCCATCTCTGTTGACCTGTGTGACACCTATATACACACATATATATGTGTGTGTGTGTGTGTGTGTGTACATATATAATGTGTGCATGTGCAAGCCTATTGGGAATATATGATAAGCCTTAGTACTGGCTAAACCTGTGGATATAGAGAAACAGCAGCCTTCCAATTGTTAGGCCACTGGATTCAGCAGCCTCTAACACAGACATCTTTAATTTATGGTATCTGAAGTTAGTATTTCTTTAGGCATGAACAAGTACAACCATAGATATTCTTTACAATGAGGGTAGTGAAACACTGGAATGGGTTGCCCAGAGAGGTAGTGGAGGCCCCATCCCTGGCAACATTCAAGACCAGGTTGGACGGGGCTCTGAGCAACCTGATCTAGTTAGCGGTGCCCCTGCTCACTGCAGCAGGCTTGGACCAGATAACTTGAGGGGTCCCTTCCAACCCAAAACATTCTATGATTCTGTATTGACTCCTACCTTTCGTTGTGCCATTGTTCAATGAGCTGTGACATGCCTCTTAAGTAATCCATGTCATGCACTGCAATTGGCTGAGAGAGGTTCATTGGCATAGGATAGAAGACAGCCTGGAGACATGACAGCCAGTCAATAGCAGGTGCCATTTCCTAGAAGTAGAACAAAGCTTACATGCTGACCTATGAATCTAAATTGACTGTTGAGAAATAATAGGTAAACTGAGATAGTCTCTAATACCATTAAGAGATACTTACAACAAATTAAACTGTTTTATGATGTAGTATTGATTACAGTAGAAAAAGAGAATTGACTTTTTATTGAATTAACACAGGGGGGAGGAGAGAGCTGTCTGAAAAATCCAAGTGTAGTCAATAAAAGACGTAAGTTAATAGGTTATTTAAATCTCAATGGACTCCAGCTGTAAGTTGCAAGGGAATGGCATCTAAAAAAAGTGTCTCATATCTCTTTTGATCTGGATCTTCAGAATCTAAATGTCACATGTAATTGTGTTGCTGAAGTTCTAAGGCTGTTCTATACCTGTAGCTCCCTGATGGTAGTGCGAAAGAACAGCATCCCTCTCTGTTGTCTCTCCTGCAGTGGGGTGACAACTCGCTGGAGGTTAGATATGAAGGACAAGGTAAGGGAAAAGGAATCAGGGGGACCATCCTGTGGCCCTCCAAGGAGGCTCCCCAGTTTCTTCAAATATGAGAGATACACTCGGAGAACCTGCAATACAGAGTATATGACCAATGGGAGAAGCATGACTGAAAATTAGTCATCCCATTCATCCATCCATCCATCTTGACCATATCAGGTTCAATATTTCAAAATCACTGCAGCCCCATCCCTAAAATTGCCCTCTTCACTGCAACATCCTTATGTAACTCTTCATGTGGATACAGTTTGCAAGTACAGCTCCTCTCTCAGTGAAGAACACTGAATTCCCAAAAGATTATTTTTGTCCCAGCTTACAAATACCTTAAATAGCAGAATCATTTTAGAGATGTAGACTTGCCATCTCTGGAGTCAAAGCAGAGAGATATAGTGATATAATGAGCCAGTATTTTTGATGGAGAGAAAAAAGCAGCTTCTTCATCACGTATCAAAGGAATGCTTGTGATGGGTAAAAAGGCTTGTTTTTTGAAGACTCTTCTGAAAGAGTCAGACTGAGAAACTGAAATCAACCTATTTTTTATAAAGTCCAGAAAAATGACAGAGCTGTGATGAAATTAACTTTGTTGCAATAACTCCCAAGGTCAAAGAGCTTGTTTCTCAACCTTAGGTTAAAACATTTTAAAACAACTTTTAAAATGTTAGCTACCCCTCCCCCAATACATAAAGTTATAAAGCCTTACTTTGGACAAGAATATTTTTTTTAAACATTCATTCAAAATGAGACCTACAGGGAAGCCCAGGTTCATATTACATAGCAAATGCAAATTAAAGCTATAATGTTCTGTTTCTACGCTAGAAGTTTTAAACCCAGCATCTAAAAATGGGTTACATTTTACAGACTAACTTTGGAAAAGTGGAAGGTTCTGTAAAAAATTCCTTCTGGAGACATTTTCAGAGGTCACTGACCGTAACCCATGGAAACAGACCACTTTGAACCTGGAGGCAATTCAAGGAGATCCCTACACCAAATAGATATTTTTACCTTTCTTCAGCCTCTAATATGTTACCTCAAGATAATTTTTCTCTTTGAATTTACTCTCAGATGGCATCTCAAACTCAGGATGGTCAATCTGCAAAAGGAGCAAAGGAAAAACTTCTCACTATTTCCAGAAACACTGGAAATGTGAGGATACGTTCAGCAG